CTGTTTAAATATGCATTGGATTTCCTCCTTTTAAAAGCTGAGTGATGTTCCATTGTGAGTTAGGTTCTTTACCCGATCGTCGTTCAATGGATACATTTGGTTGCCCGTAATTCTCCCTGTTGTGAATGATGTCACTAGAAACGTGGACATATGCAAACATGAGATTTGCTTTCTGTGGCTCCTGTGTGTGCATATGTGTTTGTGGGTGCTATCGTGTGTTGTATGCTTGTGTGTAGGTCTGAGAACAACCGCAGGTATCATTTCGCAAGTGCTTTTCTACTATTTGTTTGAGATACAATCTCTTATTGGCCTGGAACTCACCACGTAGGCGAGCAGGCCTGTGAGCTCCAGGTGTTTGCCTGTCTCGAGACCACTGGGTTTACCAGCATCTGCCACCATGCCAGCCTTTTACATCGATTCTGGGGCCATGCTTATGAGGCAAGTGCCTTATCACCTTAGCTATCTCCCCAACCTTCCAGTGGCTCTTAAAGCCACACGTAGCTTGTGTGTCCCTTTCTTGAGTTCCTGGCTATGAGAGGAGGTTGGGCTAGGAGACAAGGCTTTGTTTCTGTTGCACTGCCACAAGCCTCAAAATCCCTGGGGCAAGTCACACAGCATCTCTGAGTCATAGTCCCTCTACCTGTTAGCCAGGGAGGTCCTTCTACTGCTTGGGTATTGCCCCCAAGTGCTATACATGAGCCATTTTCATATTCTAGCCTGGAACACCCAGCCACTGGCTTTTCCTTCCTCATGCGTGGGATTAGGAGTGAGCAGCCCTTGTTTACAGAAACCTTTCACATTGAGCAGACATGAATTTGACCCTCAGACATGGACAGGTCAGACTTTAGGAGCCATTTCCTGGGCGGGCGGGCGGGCTGCCAGCATGTACCTTACTGAGACATTGCCCTCCCTGGGACTAGTGACAGAAGGAAAGGGAGCGTGAAACCCAGAACCATGGCGGTTCTCATGGGGTAGATGGAAAAGCAGCTGCTCAGCCCCACAGTAGCCCAGCCAGGCGAGCACATGACTGCAGTCTCGACAGAAGCAAGCCACACTGATTTATAACACGTCAACGCATGTCACAACCGTCAGCAGCCTGCTTATTAAAAGGGGAAACTTCGGGAGAGCTGGAAAGCGTGGCCTAAGAGGAAGGTGGGAGGTTGCACAAACATTTCCAAGAAGGAGCGGAGGCAGAGTTACCAGCATGGCTGTTAGACCAAACTGATTTTCAAGTAAAGACTGGTTTGAAATTTTTAAGCAGTATTTTTCTTGGCAAAAGGCACCGTTCACAGGCATAGTCAAGCCAGCTGCCTGAGTCCTGACAGACGGGATTCCTGCTCAGCTCCAAAACTGCGTGCAGGTGCAGAGGCACAGGCCTGGTGGAGAATAGTCCCTGAGAAGCGACACCTCCCTTTTCTGAGTCATGACTAAGTCACACGAAGAACCACAGAGAGCAGGCAGAGAAGATGGGCAAGAGAAGCCTTCAAGAGCTGATAAAGACGAGTGAAGGAGGACCAGAGAGATGACTCAGAGGACAGGGCCACTGCTGCCAAACGTGGCCACCTGAGTTCAGATCCCAGAACCCACATGCTGAAAGGAGAGAACCATGTCCTTTACATGCGCACTGTGATGCACGCACACGCGTGCGCGCGCGCGCGCACACACACACACACACACACGCACACACACACTCAGTAAATAAATGTACGTTTTTTGAAGGAAGAATGAGATGCAGTCAGTGGTGAACGTAGAAAGACGTGAGCTGGGTTCCCACAGTCACAGTGGGGTTCTTCAGTGCACCTCAGTTCAGCCCACAGCCATTGTAGATTGCAAACGTTCCCCCTGTCACTTCCAAGAAACACGTCCCAGTTGACACCGTGCCAGGAAACAATAAATGTTTTGAAATAAAAGAGGGACTATCAGGATAGTTAATTTTTTCAAGACTGTGGAATAAAAACAGATACAGAGAAAATGGCGATAAAAGCAAAATTAGAAAGGAATGGAGTGGAAGCAGACACACAGTATAAAATAATCTTTCTCCAAACAGATAAATGGGGAAACCTTGATGAACTATATTTTGATATAACGTGATTAATTATAACCCAGAGACAGATACTGGGGTTCAAGCTACAAGCTGAGAGTGGAGAGGCAAAGCAGCCAAGCCAGTAGATCTTACCTCTACCCAGCTGAAATGGCAATCCTGTCTCTACCAAGACTGAAAGGGTGTCCTGGCTAGCTCCACGAATCCTCAGACTGCAATGCTAGACTGCTGCCTCTTCCTTTTATACCTCTCAAAGCCTGGGATTAAAGGCATGCGATCCCAAGTGCTGAGATCACCTTTGTGTGAGCTGTTTCTCTTTAGGACCGGACCACTTTCATGTAGCTCAATGTGGCCTTGGTCAAAGAGATCCATCTGCCTGTCTTATGAGTCCTGGGATTAAAGATGTATGCCACTACTGCCTGGCTTTATGGTTTGCTAGTATGGCTGCTGGGATTAAAGGTGTGTATCACCATTGACTGACCTCTATGGCTTGTGGCTAGCTTTGCTTTCTGAACCCACAGGCAAGCTTCAATACATCATGAATAATATATCACCACATTTGGGGAAAAGTGCAAATGAAATGCTTCTGGTAGGTAGAAATAGAAGGCGTGATGAGACAGTGGTCCTTAAAGGCCATTGCATTCAGGGGCTCCAGGTTAGGGCTAGCCTTTACTGTCATCAGCTTTGTCCTTTATTGGAAAATGAGGTGATAAACACATTTGTGTAGGTAACATGCCTCATTTCCAAACTCAGACATCTCCCTGCAAGATAGCTCAGTTTTGAATTTGGACCACACATATAGAGACCCATATCAAATGTTAAGTTGACAATAAGCCTAAGGATGGTGGCACACACCTTCAGTCTTAGTCCTCAGGAGGCTGGCTAGGAGGATCTCAAGATCAAAGGCAGCCTAAGCTACAGGGACTCTTTCACAAACTAAAGAGGAGGGAGGAGGGAGGGAGCCATTATCCTTTTCCTTTTCCTCTACCTTGGTGTTGATGTCACTGTAGACAATATAGAGTCTTGTATAGCCAAAGTGTTTGCTGCAAATCAATAAAGGCAGATAGAAAGTTTTCAAAGAAGACAGAGATAACCACAAAGAGTCACTGTTGTTGTTTTGTTTTGAACTTTTTTACTCTTTTGGGAGTCTGTCATCCCACTCTCAATAAATACTCAGAGACATTTATTCTTAGTTATGAATGCCTGGCCTTAGCTTGTCTTGTTTCTAGCCAGTTTTTCTTAGATTATCCTGTCTATCTTTTGCCTCTGGGCCTTTATTTTTCTCTATTTATGTATACCTTTCTTCATTTCTTATTCCATGTCTGGTTGGGTGACTGGGTGGCTGAGTGGCTGGCCCTTTTGTCCTCTCCTCCTTTTCTTGTTCTTTGATCTCTTCCTAGATTTCTCCTCCTACATATTCTCTCTCCCTGCCAGCCCTGCCTATCATTTCTCTTGCCTTGCTATTGGCTGTTCAGCTTTTTATTAGACCAATCTTGTGTTTTAGACAGGCAAGGTAACACAGCTTCACAGAATTAAACAAATGCACCATAAAAGAATGCAACACATCTTTCCATCACTAAACAAATGCTCCACAGCATAAACAAATGCAACACATCTTAAAATAATATTCTACAACAGTTCACAATCTTAGTTTCTAAAGGTTCTGGGTTTGAGGAACAGACTTGTCTCTTAAGATGGTGAATGAAAAGTGATTCACACATGAGGACCAGATTCCCAGACCCTAAAGGGAGCCATATATGGCAGCAGGCACATATAACCCTAGCTCTTCTATAGTAAAATAGGAGACAGGAGAATCTCCAGAAGCTGATGGGGTAGGTTGTCCTGGTATATGCATTGGTGAGCAAGAAATTCTGCCTCTAACAAGGAAGAAGGTGAGGGCCAACACATGAAGTTGTCCTCTGACCTGTACATGCATGCTATAACACACGAGTGCCTGTGTACACACAGGGAGAAGGGGAAAGGGAGAAAATGAAGGGGGGGCAGGAAAGAGGAGAGAAGAGAAGGAAAGGTAATGCATGAGGAGGGGCTTATTAAACCCATTCCTGGCCATCTTCTTGCTGCCTTGTTCCCAGGTGGGACACCTGGAAAGGCCTCTGGGACAGTGCAGGACAACCCCTTGACGGGGTGGGGAATGCAGGGGTGATGTGGAGGAGTAGAAGAGGTTTCTGAGGACTCCCAGCTTGAATGGCTCTCAGCAAGAAAGCGGGTCCTTAGGGTTACCTTCCTCAGAGAAGTGGCTCTGGCCTGCAGAGTGCACAATTCTGGATACAACTTTGTCTTAACACGGGCATTCCAAGTGTGAACAGAGTTGGGGCATTGGTTCACATTCATTTCAAGACTCAGTGTGTTCTGAGGCACTCTCTGGGGTCTGAACGCCAGGGCTACCATTCCTGAGTCTTCTGTAATTTCTTAAAAGGTGTAGGACTAACCTTTTCCCTCTACCTTGTCCTCTGTGATTGAGATAATTAGTGATTGAGCTGTTCTCTTCCCCCGTGAAGCATTTGGTTTCTTAGAATGTGTGTCACAATCTAGAAAGACTAGGGTATTGAAGGGGCAAGATAAATGCCACTGTATGGATAGGTAAGTGTTTCCCCTGGGGATCTGAGCATTGGTCTGTGATCATCATAACACTCGAGCTGGATTCTATGCATTGAGACAAGAGGAATAGTGTTGATACAGTCTCTCTGTGAGTTTGACACTGCAACCCCTCTTCTGAGCAGTTTAAAAACTAAATTCTTCTTTGGGGATTCTAACAGACTATAAGACATAACATTTTCCACATCGTGCTTTCATTCAGAGGCCACACTAAATGCAAAGGACCTATGGGCAGGGGTGGCCAGTGTCAGAGACAGTCCTTTTTAAAGCTTGGGAGAAATGTCCGGGAGTCTCCGAGACTCCTGCTGCTCTGATGGCATATTTTTTTTTTTTTGGTCTGCAGGTCATCACTGCTGGCTTGTCACTGTTGCTGTTTGATGTGATCCTGACCAGTGCAACTGTGGGATGGTGAGTTCTCTGCAGAGAGAAAAGATGCACATTCATCACAATACTGATTTCTACTCAAATGTCTGTGGGTAGATGTCTCCATCCTAAGAAAAGTTTCATGCTAGTAAAGCCTTCCCTGTTTTCTTTAGTCATTGACTGATTGCCTGCTTGCAGTCCTAGGGCTAACACTGTGCCTCATGTGCTAGGCAAGCACTCTCCTCTAACCTACATGTCACAATGTAGCCCAGGTAGACCTCGAGTCTGCATTAATCCTCTGGCCTCAGTCTCTCAAATGCTGGTGACAGGTACGAAAAAGCAAGCCTGCTTCTTTATCTTCCAACTGTTACGAGTGTGAGTTTACATTCATAAGAGTGCGCTCTTACACAACTTCTATGACATACAGTATAGTGTATAAGATTGTACACTTATACAGTATGTTCTTATATATTATATGACCTGATATAATTTCAACAACTGAAGATTCCATGCCTAACTAATCTCAGTTCATCATATCATCAGAATGCCTTTTAGCCACTCATCTATCTCTGAGTGGCCACCATTGATCCCTTGTTGTCTAAGGAGGGAATGGTTGGTTGCCATGTACACACACATACATTCAAAACATCCATTCACAGAGACAGCATGGTGGTGGTTGGACAGTAGAGAGAGTTCCTGGATGAGACAGCATGGTGATTGTTGGACAGTAGAGAGAGTTCCTGGGTGAGACAGCATGGTGGTGGTTGGACAGTAGACAGAGTTCCTGGGTGAGACAGTACTTACTCCTTTAGGGACGGACTTGGCATACTCAAAATGTCAGCAGATTGTGTTTAGGACAAATTCTTCATCATTTTAGATTTTCAGCTATGTTTTATTTATTCTTCCACAATTTCATCCATATGTATAATGGATCTTGATCATACCTGCCCTCAACTCGCCCCTCCCATTTCTTTGGAGTTCCCTTCCCTGCCTCATGCTGTCTCCCACTTACCCTGTTTTATAAGCTATGAGTCCAGTTGGCACTGCTGGCTGCAGTGCTGACCATCCTTGTCTTGGTGGAGCTGACTTTGTTCAGGCATCTGTAGCTACAGTTAATTCATGTCACATTTCTTTTCACTCCTTCTCCATGTTGTTCCCTGAGCTGTGTAGGTGATGTTAGGTTTTTTTATATTACATTTTTGTTTATTAAATTTTTTATTTATTTTACATCCCAACTGCATTTTCTTCTCCCTCTTCTCTTCTCCCCCTTCTGTCTCTATTCAGAAAGGGGCAGGCCTCCCATGGGAGTCAACAAAGCATGGTACATCAAGTCGAGACAGGACCAAGCTCCTCCCCCTGCATCAAGGCTGGGTGAGGCATCCCAGAATGGGGAATGGGTTCCCAAAAGCCAGCTCAAGCATCAGGGACAGGTCCTGCTATGGACCCCACAAACAGACCAAGCTACACAACTGTCACCTACATGCAGAGGGCCTATGCTGGTCTTATGAAAGCTCCCTAGTTGTTGGTCCAAAGTCCAAGAGCTCCCACTACTCAGGTCAGCTAGCTGTCTCTGGGTTTTCCTGTCATGATCTTGACCTCCCAGCTCATACAGTCCTTCCTCCCTCTCTTCAACAAGACTCCCAGAGCTCAGTACAGTGCTTGGCTGTGAATCTCTGCATTTGCTTCCATCAGTTATTGGATGAAGGCTCTCTACGGTGGCCACCAATCTGATTACAGTAGATGGCCAGTTTAGGGGCCATCTCCACTATTGCTAGGAGTCTTAGCTGGGGTCATCTGTGGGTTTCTGGGAGTTTCCCTGGCACTAGGTTTCTCCCTCACCATGAACCCCCCACTCCCCAATGAAGACATGTCTTTCATTACCCTCCTGCTCTGTCCCAGCCCCAGGAATGTTAGATTTTAATACTACAGCTATGATTCTGTTGGCTAAAATGCTTACTGAGCGTTGCTAGGCATAGTGGCCTTTAATCCCAGCACTTGGGAGGTAGAGCAAGGTGGGTCTCTGTGAGTTTGAGGCCAGTCTGATCTACAGAGTGAGTTCCAGGACAGCCAGGAGCACATAGTGAATCTCTGTCTTGAGAAAAACCACAAACAAAAAAGATTTTACGGAGTGTTGTATGTAGCACAAGGGGAAGATACTAAAGAAGTGTGAGATAGTAATTCTCAATGAATATTCGAGGGAAAACAAAACCAAATGTTTTATGCGATGGACAGGGTGGTAGTTACTGAATGTGCTGTGGACATGAAGATTTAAGTGAGAGGACAGGCATGCTCCGAAGGCAAGCCTTGACCCGCCTCATACCGGATCTGATGCCGGTGGGAAGGGCTTAGCTAGGCGGTAGGATAGGAGAGGACTCAGCCTCTCTCGTCTAGGACACACAGGACTAGAGGTTCTGGCTGTAAGATACTAGGGTAAAAATGGGCTCTAGGCCACACAGCTAACCCCACACTTACTCTTTCTGTCCTGCGACCGAATGACAGTAACAGTGGGGAGGAAGACACATGCCTTGTATGTGTGTGTTATGTAAGTATGCATTATGTGTGTGTGTGTATTATGTACATGTGTGTGTGTGTCCAAATGCATGTGTGCACCCCAGCATTTATGTGGTGGTCTGAGGACAACTTCAAGAGTTGGTCCTCCTTTCTAGTGAGTTCCATGGCTTGAACTCAGGTCCTTAGGCTTAGGAGCAGGCTCTTTTACCCACTGAGCCATGTTGCTAGTCCCAAATCTCTGTGTCCTGTCCTGAGGCATTTAAACGATTTTCCCCAGGGTTTTATAGACATGAGTAGATCATACTGTATCTCAAACCCAGGCCTCAGTGTGTCCCAAGCCCCCCAAACTTGCAGAACTATCTTGAGCACTGGCAAAGCCTTGTCAGCAAGACCCACAAAGGTGACACAGGAAACTGGCCTAGATGTTTATCTTTCCATACATGGTGCTAGCCTAAGTTCTCGACAGTATTTTTCTTTTTTATACACATGCCTCCACGTTTTGTATAGAATTTCAAAATGAACCAAAGAAACCCAGGTGCTGAGTTGAGGGAGAGAAATCAGAGCGATACGGCTCTCTGTCGTGAGGAAATGCCGAGGTAGACTAGTGACAATTTTACATGTGTGGAACTGAGGTTATGCTCTGACAAAATGGAAAGAGAGGCCATTTGGGCCCAAATCAAGGAAGTGGCATGCTTGTCTGTTGCAAAGGACCTTGACTTTGGGAATTCCTGGGCTTTACAACTCTCGATGTTAGGGATGGTTTTTCGGCCTCAAAGAATTTTCCAACCACAAAGTGAACAACCAGGAGGAGTGTGTCAAGCTGTAACCCCAACTTCTAACACTTACCCAGGTTGTTGGTTCATGGCCAAATGCCACAGCTCACGAGTTCCAGATGGGAGTGTCTGGTCTTTGTGCCCTGGTGAATTAAACTAATCAAAAGTCACAAACGGTAGGGGTTGCAGGTCTTGGATTTTTTTTCTAATGTTTTAGAACTACTATATTTTCCTGTATAGTTATCGCTTCTTATGTTTTGATTGATTTCAAATTTCAAATTAATCAGCAGCATTTAAAAATTAGGTGATTTCCTCCTATAAATCCAGGTTTCCATATTCCTTTGAAAATGGAGACTGCTGTGAGTTTGTGTTGGGACGATGCTCACAGATGCTCCAGACACTGGCCTGGAAAGTTCTCTCTGATGAGCACGGTCACAGCTATGCCTGAACTGGCTTGTCTTTTCTCTTGGGAGGGCAGCATTTTAGGTGGTCAGGTTAGGCCATCTAAAGTAAGATTTCTGGGTTGGCAAGACAGTTTGGTAGATAACGGTGCCTGTCTCTGAACCCAACGGTCTGAGCTTGTTCCAGTTGCCACAAATTGTCCCTGATAGTCACATGTGTGCCATAGCATGCATGCACTCATACTCCACACATACAAAAATAGATATATAAATATAATATAAAAATAAAGTCAGGTCTTTCACTCTTGGCACTATTGGTGTTTGTGGCCAGATTATTCCTTGTTGTGGGTACCATCCTGTGCCTTATTGGATGCCAAGTAGCAAACCTGACTGGATGCTAGTAGGCCTCTCATTTGTAATGAAAATGTCTTTGAGGCATTTGACAGTATTGCCTGGAGACAGAATCACCAGTCTCAATGTTCTTGCAAATGAGCGGAGAGAATGCTATCTGACTTTTCAACAAGATCTTACAGAATTTGCTCATCTCCTGATTAGGGATCTGAATCGGCTTAAATCCTTGGCAGCATCGCCCAGCCCCCTGGATGTGGCTTTCAAAGTGGCTCTGTGTGACAACCAGATGTGTAGGCTTTTCCCTCCCTCCTGCACCCAGATGTGTGCAGTGCTCATTGGAATAATCCAGTGTAAGGCTCTGGGGAATGGCCACCATGAATCTTCTTCCTTCTGAGGAATCCATGACAACTCTTCACCCATCATTCACCCCGCCTGCCATCCATCCATCACAGGCCACCAACCATGACAACCCACCCAGACCTTATCCCAGTACAAACCTCACGAATATCAAGGATCTTTAGAAAATGATTGTAAAGAGCTGGGTGTAACATTATATGCAAAATTCCAACACTCAGGAAGCCGAGGCAGGAGGAGTTCTAATTTGAGACCAGCTTGGGATACATATTGAGACCCAGAATAAATAAAAAGACTTTCAGTCAGCTGGTGGTGGCACAAGCTTTTAATCCCAGCTGCTCCAGAGGCAGCGGCAGGTGGGTCTCTGTAAGTTCCAGGCCAGTCTGGTCTACAGAGTGAGTTCCAGGACAGCCAGTGGTACACAGAGAAACCTTGTTTAAAAAGAAAGAAAGATTTTCAATTATCTTTGAGTCAAGCTATCCTCTCTGTGATTTTAGGGCCCCTTCCTGGAGACTACTCAAGTCTTAGTAAACAGAAAATGAATATAGGAGCAAGAGGAAAATGTTCTAGTATCTGCTAAGTCCCTTTAAGACTACAGTGAATGAAACATACCAGTTTCCTGTTTGAATAGAATGTTGGCATCTCATTTTAAAAG